AACAATGCTAGCTTCTGGAATATTTCCTGAAGGACCTGTCTGAGGCTGTCTTACAATTAACTTTTTTTTTCAAAAGTAAAAGTGCATTATAACAAAAGTATATTATAGTAAACATATAAACCAGTAACGTCATTTATTGTTATTATCAAGTATTATGTACTGAACCTAATTATATGTGCTATACTTTTATGTGATTGGCATCACAGTAGCTTTGTTTATACCAGCATAATTGCAAACATGCGAGTAACATGTTGCTCTGTGACACGATAACTACGAGGTTACTAGGTGGTAGGAATTTTTCAACTCCATTATAATCTCATGGAACCACCATTATATATGTGTGGTCCCTTGTTGACTGAAATGCCCTTAATGTGGCACACCATTGTATTTAAATATAAACCTAAAGAAAGCATAATATAGTGGATAGATTTGCAGCAGATAATAATAATCATTTTTAGTAATTCCTAGAAAAGGCTGGAGGTGATAAGTTTTAGATCACAGAGTAAAGGTGGTTTGCTAGGTGGAAGGCCACTTCTGAAACAGAAAAAGTTTATGGTTTATTTGGAAGTTTATTTTAGCAAATTGCCAGCCCTGGGAAAATCTAGGTGTAGTTTAATTATTTTGCTTGTTAACATATTTTAAGACCATTAAAGTATGTGCACTTTTTATCAGCAAAGAGGTTGATTTGAAGCAATAATATAAAATTATAATTATTAAAACACAAAAAGATAAACCATTTCATTACTGTTTAATTTTAATCTGATCAAAATAATTTATCCTTTTCTTGATCAGAGAGACAACTATGAATATCATTTAGCATATTCTTATATTTATCTATTTATTGAGATACAGTATCCCTCTGTCACCCCAGGTAGAGTGCAATAGTGTCATCATAGCTCACTGCATCCTCAAATTCTTGGGCTCAAGGATCCTCCTGCCTCAGCCTCCAGAGTAGCTGAGGCTATAGGTACATGACACTACAACAGCTAATTTTTTCTATTTTTAGTTGCCTGGCTAATTTTTCTATTTTTATTAGAGACAGGGTCTTGCCCTTGCTCAGGCTGGTCTTGAACCGAGCTCAGGCAATTCTCCTGCCACAGCCTTCAAGAATGCTAGGATTATAGGTGTGAGCCACTGTGCCCAGCCTTGGCATATTTGTTTCAGTCTTTTTTTCTATGTATTTTTTGCATAGCTCATATTGTGCTATATATAATTTTGCATTTTATTATTTTTGCTTAATATGCTTTTTCTGGCTTGGTATTTTATTGAATAGATGTATCTGCTAAACTTAATATATTGTTTCATTTTAAAATCCAGTGATACACAAATTAAGACTTCTGAGTTTCAGGAACTGTTCACATTCTTCCACTGTAGTTATGTTCTGTTGTATATTGCTTGAAATAGGCATTTTCTTGGATCTTGAATGGCATTAAAAAGATTTTGATTGTGGTAAAATTTGACCTAGACTGCTTTTTTCCTTTTCCCTTTATCTCTTATGAAATTTAATACAGTGTTGTCATTGTTAGAGGAATACAGTAGGAATGTAGCAGGATACAGCTTGAGACTTAAAAATATTTTTAAGTTATGCAGGTACTCTCATTCTTACCAAAATTAGAGAAAGATATATCTAATAATTATTGGGGCTTTCCACCATTTATTTACCTTTCTTTTTCCTTTCTTTCTGTATTATTGTTGGTTAATTCAGATATTATGAATAAGTGATATAGTAATTTTTCCCTTTGAATGTCAAGTATTAAAAATAGCCATTGTATTAGTTCCCCCTTTTTCTTATTACTCAAATGAAGGTAACAGATACGGAGTGTGTGGGATGGTTTGTGAAGACTGGGATGCTCCTACTCTCAGCTTCCAAATTTCAGAAGGTATAATATTGTTGAAGGCTGGCATTGACACTAATTTGTCTGTGATACTACGAAGGTACATGGGAATACGGAAGGGTATGAGCTGGAAGTCTAAGCATGGAACTGAATCAGAATCATGAGGTTGGAAGGGATTTCTGGTCTTTTCTGGCTGCATATGAAGTCACTTGATCACTTTTTTTTTCTTTATTCATTGAAAATACCTATAGTTTAATAGTAATAGCTAACATTTATCAGTTTTTTTATATGCCACACTAAGTACTTTTTACATGAACGGTTAGCTAATTATTGTGACCTGTTAGTCACTGTGTTAGAAAAATAATACAGCATTTTGTGTGACGAGAGCTATTTTCAGTTTGATTTGTGGTTGATTGCTAATGCATTTAGGATATGCCTATTTGTGAACTTTCTTGTTGCCTTATCCAGAGTGAATTGATTTTTCTACATGAAGCAGTAAAGGCATTTTTGTAAAATGTGGTTATTTTGGCCTGTGTTGTAGCATTGCAGTATGTTAGAAGTAGTTGGCGTGGGTTATTACTTTTTTTGGCCATTTTTCTAAGGAAAGCATATTAATTTTAAAAAAGAGAATAAGTGAGTTATACGGTATATCCTCATAGGGATCAGGATTTCTAGGATTGAAAACTGTGCGGAAGCCTGGAGAGAGCCAGTCAGACTTGTGGGTAGAGACTGGGTCTGAACTGTGGGTGAGAGTCAGGATGGGGTGGAAATCAATGGAAACACATTTAATCTTGGCTGTGGCTTTAAAGGCTGCATTTTTGTTTTTGTCGATTCATTAGCCTCAGTTCCTAAATATAAATATAACAAATGTTGAACAATGTGGTGTGTGTGTGAATGTATACATTTTGGTAGAAGGTAGGGGAGGGTGGGGATATAGGTTTTAGGGGAAAATAAGAACAAAGAGATCTTATATTTTCTCCTTTCTTGATTCCCCAGAACCCTTCCCTGTCTCTGTACTAATCAGTAGCTCCCAGTAATACTAAAGTGTTAAGTGGAAAATTTGTTTAATTGATTTAACAATTAGGATTTAGCAATAAAAATACCAGCAAAAATAAATAGCACAGAGAACAAATTTCCTTCATAATTGCAAATGGTAAATATGAGATAATTGCATATTTTCCCCTTCCAGTGGATTTGTCAATCCTCTTTTTCTCAAAGTTATCAAGCTTTCAGATGACTGGATGTCATTGCTTTGACCTTTAAGACCTTAGATGTTTGTTCCTCAAAATGACATCTCTGTGATGACATGGAGCTTATAGCAGCAGTCATTTTCTTTTTGTGTCATGGATTGTACTGATTCTGTTCAGTCTGTAGTGAGACTAGTCTGGGGACATCACAGGAATGGACAAATACAAATGCTCCTTGACTTATGATCCATTTAATACACCTGCTGTCCTAGCTTAGCTTAGCTTAGCCTACCTTAAATGTGAGCCAAGAGTTGGGCAAAATCATGTGACATCTAGCCTATTACTTAATAAAGTGTTGACTATCTCATGTAATTTATTGAATACTGTGTGGGTACCATAGTAAAGTTGAAAAAATCATAGGTTGAACCATTGTAAGTCTGGGACTGTTTATATTGGGTTTAGTTGATTTTTTTTTTAAATTTTACAGTATTATGGGGTACAAATTTTTTGGTTACATGGATTGCTTTTGTAATGCTTGAGTTAGGGTTAAAAGTGTGACAATCATCCAGATATTGTTCATTGTGCTCGTGAGGTAGGTTTTTGCTCATCTCCTCCACTCCTTCCCCTCTGCCCTACTTGATTTCCATTGAGTTTTAGTCCTTGTATGCGCATGTGTGCTCATCAGTTAGTTCCAGTTTAATAGTGAGTACATGTGGTGGTTGCTTTTCTATTCTTTAGATACTTCACTTAGGATAATGGTCTCCAGTCCATCCAAATTGTTGCAAAAGGCATTAAGTCATCCTTCTTTAAGGCTGAGTAGTATTCCATGGTGTTGGTATGGCATAGTTCATTATTTATTGTCAAAGGAGTATGTATTCTCATTTTAGAGAACTTTTAAAAGCATGTGGAAGAAATTAATGAGCTATTACTCAGAGATAAATCATTGGTACATTTTTTCCAATGGTTTTTCTATGCATTATAAAATTAGCTCTCAACTAAATTGAGGGATGGGTTGGGGGAGGGGATGACCTTCAAACATATCTCAAACCTCAGTTAAAATTATAGGCGAATCATCATTATTTAGAGTCCCTTGTAGTAGGGAACTGGCATGTCTGCTGGCCTAGCTAATTAGATAGTGGTTGATTCATACCCATAGATATTCCCTGAAGGGCTTGTGGTCATAGCTTTAAGGCTGGGATGTTGTTGGGGCAAAGGATGAGGTAGAGAGTTTGGACAGCTAGACCTCCTACCCTATGCTTCAACCAAAAGAGCCCTTGGGTTTGGTCAGGGAAGGCAGCCATTTAATCACCTGTGGCAATATTGTAGAGCCTGTAAAGTAAAAAATGTGTCTCTGTCCCTGCCACACCATGATCAACATTAATCTGAAAACCAGATTATCTTCTAGTAATTAAGTGTTCATACAGAATGTGTAGTTCTGTGTCCTCTCCATATGAATGAGTTCTTGATTATGATTTCAGTATAATGGTAAAGGATCATTTTGAAATTGGAAGAATAGTTTGGTCTGTTATGGCTGCCCTAATCAGGGAACCTATTGGAGTGTGCTTATAACACTTGAGAGAAGCAGGAAATAGCAAGATTGATGGTGGGTTCATTTGTAGGATAGATAGGTCCATTAATCTAATATTTAACCATCCAAAAATAGGTTGACATTCTGTCAGTTGGGCAAAGGAACTTTAGAAGTTCTTTGTATTTTTTTTTTTTTTTTTTTTGGAAATTGGCCTTAGTGATTTTCTGTATATATGCTATTTCACTTTGTGTGACTCATTCACAGTTTGTGTATTAGGTCTAATAGAAGTGTGTGTTTTAAAATTAGAATTTCCTAGAATATAGTGGTTTTTTGGAAGGACCTTGACTACTTGCTTCATGTATAACAATGAGCAGTGGAATACTAATTTATTCTTGAATTTTAATTTATAAATAAAGTTGATTACTTGTTAACTAGTATTTTTTTTTCCAGTTTCTCTTCAGCAACGGGTAGCGGAATTGGAAAAAATTAATGCAGAATTTTCACGTGCACAGCAGCAGCTTGAGCAAGAATTTAATCAAAAGAGAGCAAAATTTAAGGAGTTATATTTGGCTAAAGAGGGTAAGTTCCTGTCTCCCACCAACTCCAATACTAAAACTGCCTTAAAATGTTAAGTTTTTTTGTCATACAGTGTTAATGTGTTTTTTTTTGACTCAATACCCAGTGAATACAGTGTTAATTTTTTTATTTAATAAACCTTCATTTTATTTATACTTATATTGCATAATAAAAAAAAACTATTTGGAGGCTAGATTTAAGAGTGGAATTGAGAAACAAGTTGAAAAATGCGTTCTCCAGATTTGTCTTTGTTTTTTGATTTTTGTGTTGATATTTAATACAGTAGGTACATAGTCCTGAGACATGAGTCTTTGCTCTTAACATTTGAGATAGAGGCCCAGGCAAACCAGGACTGTTGGCATTCTACTAATAGCGTTAGCCATGTTATATTAAAACTGACATTTCAGGAAATTAATCTAACAAATGTTCAGTTATTTAGCAATAATTATTTAATTCCTGTTATGGAGCACACATTGTACTCAGGTGCTGTGTATAAATTCATGTGGTTCTTTAACTTGGTTGGACTCCAGTGAGGAAGACAGATGTTAAGTAATTGTGTGAGATGACTTGTTAAAAAGGAAACTATTTAAGGCAAATACATGAGAGAATATGATGGGGGGACCTGGTTGGAAGAATGAGGGAAGGAGTTTACATTTTGGGTATTGGCCAGATATGGTTTCCACAGTTCACTAGACCAGCATTTCTTAGAGTGTAATTGTGGAACAGCAGCATCGCCACCACTATCCACCACTATCGCATGGGACAGTTGTTAGGAATGCAGATGTTGGGTCCCACTCAGATTTACTGAGTGAGAAACTGTGAGATTAGGGTCCAGGGTCAGTGTTTTAACAGGCTCTCTAGATGATTTAGATGTAGGCTAAAGTTTGAAAACTACTCTTTAGAGCAGTGGCTCTCAAACTTTCTTGTGGATAAATATCACCTCGAAAGCTTGTTAGACCATAGTATGTTTTGGTCAGAATTTGCATTTCTAATAAGCTTATAGGTGATTCCAATTACTGCTAGTCCAAGGACCACAGTTTGAGAACTCCTAGAGTAGTATTCATGCAACCTTTTAATTTATATACATAAAATATTTATATACTTATATGCACTCCATACATTTTCAAGTTGATGTGTAAAATTTTTTAAGTTTAAAAAGATGTGAAGGAAGCCAGGTGTGGTGGCTCACGCCTGTAATCCTAGCAGGCAGATTGCTCGAAGTCAGGAGTTCAAAACCAGCCTGAGCAAGAGCGAGACCCCGTCTCTACTATAAATAGAAAGAAATTAATTGGCCAGTTAATATATTAATTAATTAGAAAAAATTAGCCGGGCATGGTGGTGCATGCCTGTAGTCCCAGCTACTCGGGAAGCTGAGGCAGTAGGATTGCTTGAGCCCAGGAGTCTGAGGTTGCTGTGAGCTAGGCTGATGCCACGGCACTCACTCGAGCCTGGGCAACAAAGCAAGACTTTGTCTCAAAAAAAAATAAATAAATAAAAATAAATAAATAAATGTCTTTTGTATTGATATTAAAATTATTAGAAATATACAATCACACTATAGATGATAATTCATATATTTTACAAATTAATAAAATGAAAAAATTATTAGAAATGTAGCTCTTTTGAGATATATTGGACCTCCCAATTAAATCATGATTCTGTGGATGAATATTATTTACTGCTAGAAAAAGATATGCTTCAGCATCAGTTCTATTTCAGTTTCTGAATTTTTGTTTTTTTAAGATATAAATGCTGAGAACTCTTGGTTTATAAATAGTTTTATTTTAGTAATTATTACTCAATTCTCCCTTTTCTGAATTATATGTTAAATTACATAGTGGTTTAGCTTCAAAAATATTTTTGTTCTGAATTGAAGGAAGATCTTCCTTCAATTTTGTTGAAAGTAGACTTTGCATCCACCTGACTTCCAAGGAATTTGTTACACAGTTAGTCATTCACTGTGTATTTTTGACAGTGATATTTTAAATTGTCCCTCTGGTTTAATACCACAGAGGAGTTTTTAATATAACAGGACGGTATACCATAGTAAAATTGAGGATGGGTGAAAAGCCTTTCTTTTGCTACATAGGAGAAGGGTGATTATGAAAGGGAAGTAAAGATGGAGAATCTGTGTTTAACCCTGTGTTTTAGGAAAGAATATTTTTGAGAGTTGAGGATCTAGAAGTTATTTCCTTTAAAACAACGTATGCCTATGTATCCCTTGGGAAACCTTTGAGTAACCCCAAGAACACAGTACCCGACTTTGAAGACCACTGCTTTGGAGCAGTGTTATTCAGACTGTAGGTAGTAACCCATTGTTAGATAATAAAATTGGTTGTGATCTGCAACTTAAGAAGGAATAAAATGGAAAATGACAGCACATTATACTTGGTGTGGTTACGTAAATACAGCTACACACAATTTTTGGTTTGTTACATATGTATATATTTGTATATGGTTGTGATATAAAATATATAAAATATATTTCTTGTGGTTTATTCAGGTGAAAGAAGTTTGAAAGCCATTATACTATAGGTTGGAAGGTTCACAGGCCTTGCAGAATTTAGCCCTGGCTGGGAAGGTCTTAGTGACTGTGGTATGGGATGGGATTCTGTTTTCTCATGGCTTGCAGGAGGACTGTTTTCTATTTAATTTTGTTCCTCCATAGGCTGATAAGGAGACGGGAAAGCTGACGTTCGTGTGTAGGCATGGTGGCATTCTGCAAGACTTACTGTGGCGGTTGGGATAAATGAAATGGTTTATATTTTCCAGGAAATACAGTCTATTGTGATAGATAATATATTTTTCACAGTATCATCAGTGTTTGAGTATATGTTAAGTTTCATGAGAAGTAAGTTCTCTGTGATTATTTAACATGTTCATGTGAATTTGTTATCCTCCTCTCCATGTTTAAATTTGTTTCCATATTTGAATTGACAGAGCACCACTGAAAACTCTGTGCAGTGGTATGTTCTTGTCAAGATGACCTGTTATACATTTAATGTATAAGGTCATGGTAGTGTTTCCTCTGATAACCAGTTCAAATTTAATGTAATATTGGCCACTGATGTACTTTTTTCCCCTTTATCTCTCACACCAATACTTCTGTGGCTTGGTTGTCCTTTCCATAGATTTTTCTTTCAGTCTGTCTTTCTTTATTGAATAAATTGTTCACTTGACCAGCCTAAAAAACAAAAAAATGAATAAAATAAATTGAATCTTGTCCAAAACTTGTTTCTTCTGCTTTCTGTTTTTCTCTGTCCCCAAATAAAGCAATTAGGGTTTACCTTGTTTTCTTTGAAATTATAAAATTGACTTTTCTCTAAAACTTTAAATGAAAATGGACCAACAACATCTCATTTATGAAATGTATTATCAATTGCAATTTTATATCTCTGAAATAAAGAGTTTATAATGTGGGTTAGTTTAGGAATCATACTTGGTATGTTAAAATTGCTTTGATCATATCTACAGCCAATAAATAATCTTTTGTGTACTATTGTATCTTTAGTATCTGAAGTTCTCAATAAACTCAAGCTGACCATAGAGCACAGTTGAGTTTAACTTTTTACAAAATTTCAAAACAAATACTGTGATCTTTTTTGAGAGTTTTTGGAGCCATTCCTAAAGAAAATGCATAGTGTGTAAAAGGTCAGTGCTGGCTATTTAGTTTCTGTCTTGCTTGTTTACCTATATCATAATAAAAGTCAAATTCAAAGATTTCCTCTAAAGCAGCAGTGTATCTTACTGCATCTACTGTGAAGTCTAAATATAGGTTTTATGAGTGTCACAGGTGTTAACAGTATAAACCATGATTTTGATGTGCTCAGCAGTGTTTATCTTTGAGCAAACCAGGTCATAATGAACCGAAGTCTAAACATTGTTTTTCCCCAGTAGTGACACCTTTTGCTTTGGTGTTATAAATAGATGTGCTTGCATTTATTTGGAGAATAGCTGACATATAAGTGCAAACATTAATGATGAATGCTAATAAAAGATTATTACCTTTGACACCTCTTACTGTCTATTCTTGCCTTAGTACTCATTCTTTTTTTTTCCTCTTCTTTCTTAGTACCCATTCTTTTCCCAGCTGACTTCAACTAGGAATGTTATACAAATAGTTTTGAAAGTTTTGTTGTTTCCTTCCTTAAACAACTTCAGTACAAAGCTTAGTACTTCAGCAGTGTTTGTGTTTTGGAAATCCTTAGTTTTGGGCAATGAGTAAGAGCCTATTATGTGAAACACCAAACAAAAGGCCACAGAGTTCTCAATTTGAGGTAAAATAGAAATAGAGATCATGGATCATCACCAGAAGACGTTGAAATTTTCTAGTGGTGTTCAAAAGGACTTATACGTGGTCATAATTTATATAAAGCTCTGATGCTAAATAATTGGAATTTCAGTAGTGAAAAGCTAGGCTTAGGAAAGCTATTTGTGGTTCAGATGCCATAAGCTTGTACTTAGACATGGAAATGAAATAAAAGTATGTAAAAATTAATGTAAAAACCATTAGAAATCTTGTAAATAAAAGATTAGAAATTGAAGTAATATTAATAAATGGTGTAAATTGTAGAGAAGACACAGGTTTTAAAATTAGAAAACAGTATTGAGGAGTTCTCCCTCCTCATGAGATAAAGAGAGGAAACTATCAAAGAATATATCGAAGACATAGAGGATGAATTGAGAGCCTCCAACACACATCTAAAAAGAGTTCCAGGAGAAGAGAATGGAAGGAATGGTAGACAATATTTGAGGAGATAATACCTGAGATTTTACAAGCACTAATGAAAATGTGAGTCATTACCATAAATACAGAGTACTAAGCAGGGTAAACAAGTAAATTTGTGCCTTGACACATGTCTTAAATGGTAGAATGTCAAGAATGAAAAGATACAGAGTACCAAGCAGGGTCAACAATAGTAAATTTATACCTTGACACATTTCTTAAATGGTAGAACATCAAGCATGAAAAGAAAAGCTACCAGAGAGAAGAAACAATTACA